TAATTGCACTAATGACTTCAATTCTAGCTAAATTATACATATAGTCGCCAACATGTTCTGTGATGTTTATCACATGTCAGAATTGGAGACATTTGTGCAATTAAAATGATATATATCTATATCTATATATATATATATATTTCAACTCTAGCTAAATTACACATATAGTTCCATTCAAATCTTTTAATCAGGCTGATATATATAGATATACAGTGTATATAATTTTAATTGAACAAATATATATATAAATATATATATATAATTTTATCTAACTCCAATTCGAGCTAACTTGCAGTATCTTTGCAACCACAAAAAAAAAAATACCTATAAACTATATAAATAAACATCCACCTTCCATTAAAATATGTTTGCAAATATTTTTAACAGGTGCTCAATGCTGTGAGTGACAGCACTTCCGGTGCATTTCTAAATAGACAGATGATCAAACAGAAGGCCTTTAATGCAGCTCCATCCAAAAATATGAGCAGCATGACAAGTTATGACAAGAAGATGAGTCACTGTTTCCGGACCCACCGATCACTCTGAACTTCAAACACATAAATCATGTGTCCTCTCGAAACTATATTTAAGGAGAAATCAAAACAAAGCAATGCTCAGCTGACTGTAAGCATTAGCGTCTGTTGTACACAAATAGCCAATGGACGTCTGTCATGGAGCCTTCAGTCAGATGGCAAATCAATTAGAGTATATTCTATTATTACGAATAACAATCAATTAAGGGGGTTTTTAGTCCCGTTGTACCCCGTTTCAAAATCCTGAAATAAAAACAAGGCAAAATAAAAAGCAAATGTTGTCTTCATGTACTCTAACCTACTAAAGAGAGAGTGTGAGTTAGCTGGTGTGCACGGGTGGGTTGTAGCGGTAGTAGATCTGAGTGTGACAGATTTATCTCCCCTCGCTCAGGCTGGATGAGAGGGGCTCATAAATAAACAGGGAGACGGGAGAGAAAGCTCTCCATTGAACATAAACAAGTAGGTCCTTTAGTCCTGCATCAGTCACTTGCCGGGGAACTGTGACAGTGAGGGGTCCAAGGTGAGGTCAGGGTGGTTCCCTTTAACCCTGGACTAACACAACGCGACCGCATTCAGCCAACACATCATTAGGTTCAGATTACAAACAAATATGGCTACGGCTCCAATTTGTCAATACGTGAATTCAATGACAGATAATCCGCATGTGCATTTTCACACTTGGGTGATTTATGTACTGCGCAGAAAGGAAGGGCTAAGTTTGTCCTTCAGCATTCTCATTTATATAATACAGTGGACAGAGCTGATATTATATAGCATGATACATATAAGCATGAATGTACAGATGTCTTTTGTGTCTTTTATACTGAATCGATAGAGATGGTATATAGCAAAATGAGGGGGACAACAGAGCGGGTGGAATCGAGACATGACAGACTGGACTTGAACCTCCAGTCCGTTCCCATGGGAATATTGTACCACCTTACCTCGCTTTTATCACCATAAAGCAGAAGACAAACCACATAAAAGCCGGAATAAATTGGATATGACAGATTAAATCCTGGTCATATGCACACAAAAAAAATGTGGAAACAAAAAGCACACAGAAAATGCCCACGCACAAATGAAAAAAAGCTGCTTTATGGTGCCATTGTTCATCAGCGTGAAACAAATCTCCACAGAAAAATTGATTTTTAGGAATAACGCGCAAATATTTCAACAGACCAACCATTAGCTATGAGGCTATTAAGCAATGAGAAGTGTCAATGTTTACTACAATTTCTAACACGTTGTACTTTTGTGCTTTGATATAAAGTCAATAGTTTTATATTGTACGGTCATTGCCGATTATGATTATATCATTTGCAATGCTTTATAGCTTACTACCTCACAAAAATGATGCAGTTTTGGACTTTTCAAAAAGTTTATCTTAGAACCGAATTTTGTAATGTAGAGCTGGTTGTTTCGGTTTCAAGGTTTACAACTTATTCCTGAATTATCTATACTGAAGAATTGCTTAAATCCCTGTGGAGAAAATAAATAAATATATACTTCTGGAATCCAGGCAGCTGTAAAAATAGCCATTCGCTGTAGCCTCATATTGCTTGCCATTATTTTTCAATGAGCATCCTGTCCGATTCTGGATTTCTTCCCACTGAGACACCGGCTATATTTTGGACCCCAGATAGACAAGCGCTGTTCTATATACAATATATGCTTTTCACAAAACAAATAGTTACAGAAAAGAAATCAAGTTTAGTAAACGAGTGACTCACAAATGCCAAAAAATCACTGCCAGTCTAAACACCCAAAGTGATATAACTACTCTATTTGGCACCAATTCTGACATTCTTTGTTAGTATACACTTTATCATTTCTTTTAATTGACCTACACAACAATCAATTCTTTAAACCACTACTATCTATAATATATATATAAACGCATTTAAATGATTCACCTGTCAAACCCCTAACATGCGCTTCACCGCAGGGCTGTACGAGCGATTTGAAAAGCGAAGAGCACATATTAAGTGATAAGTCTTTAAGATGCAATATAGAGTTTTACCTTATGCCTTTAGCAAATTCAAAAGCCAATAAAGTGATATGTACACAATATATACTCTGACATTGATGATTATTTTTCTGGCTGGTTACACTACTTTTGCAAAGAACTATGCAGATCATCTAAAAGCCATCACTATCGTTTATTACACAGATGCTTACTTCCATGTAGCTCGTTCTGACAGGAGAATTCAATAGAAAATCCTTCGACAAAACAGCAGAGTCTCACGCTGGGATGGAGTTAAGTAACATGCCAATTTTACGTTAAAATCAAGAAGCTTTCTAAAAAGCTCATTTCATGTTAGTGCTACGCTCTTTGGTAACACATGGATGAATGAAATCTGCATTCACAAGCTGTGAACCTTTCTGACCATGTGGTTCACACATCTCACACCATTTTTCATTTGACATGCGCCTCAGCAGGAAATTGTCATCATATCGAGAAACGGCACAGTAGTCAAGCCTAATGGTGAAATCACACAAGCGCAAACACACCGGAAAGTGAGAATAGGAGAGAAAAAAGGTGGAGAGCTCGATTAACTACCAAGATGTTGCTTTCTATTCAATTGTCATAGTAGTTGTTGTTGTTGTTGAAAGTACTTTATTGCAATTTCAGGGTTTAACAATAAGGATGAGCTGCTGGCAAAAGTGTTGAGCGAACTCCTCATCTTATTGGTCCAGTATTTACACTCTTATGTTTACTTTGTTTACTTATGATTACTAGAATTATGACTTTGGATACAAAATTATAAACAAATCAGCAAGGCTTTGCACATTATGCCACACTTTTCCAGCAAAACGTATTAAAGCGTTACTTTTCTAGCTATTATTGCACACTACAAGCAAGTGTTTAATTAATTTTAAATCTGAATATTTATTCTTGATATGATGCTAAAAAATGGGGCCAATGTAAATATTGACAGGGCAACTTAATATCTATTGTCAAACAAAGAATATATATTGTTTCTCAACCCTTTATGTACATGTAAAATGGATTCAGGCAGTGCCAAAACAACATGAGAGAAGTGTGGATGATAAATACACTATTAGACAGACAAATAGTCTGTAATAAAGATTAGAATGTTAGACTTTAAGATGTATATTAGTAAAAATGTATGAAATTATTTGCTGTATTATAAAGATGCCTATTGAATATGAATATACGCGATATAACATTAAGGTGCAAAGTTTAGTGGAAGAAGGCAAAGCAACTATCTATTACCAATGTAATTACATATGTGAACAGCTAAGAGGAAGAAACTGTTCTTCAGTCTTCCTTTGATGGCACATATGTAGAGCAGTAATTATACATTTACACATTCCGTTTCAGGAAATCTACAAAAAAATAAATAAATTAAACGATTTTTGGTATAATGTTATATTAGCTTATTCCTACCACTCACCTTTTTTTAATAAATCAAAAAATAAATCATGCTCATATGTACTCTGACATAAAAGATTACTCTTCATAAAAAAACCTCCTGAAATCAATTTTAAAGACTTCACTTTGTTACCTAACTGTTTACAGGCTAAGGGTAACACTGTGTTCCCGCTTCAGTTGACAGCTATGCTACACTGCTCGAGCAAACCGTCACAAGCAAGCCGAATGTGACGCGCTGTTCTCTGTCTCTCTCTGTCTGCATCTCTTTCTCTCTCACTCTCTGTCCGGTCAACCGAAGAGGAGGCAAACCTCTCACTTTCTTCTCATCCAGCACTCAAACACACACACATTCTACTGTACCACACAGTTAAGGCTTATGCACTACATAGCCAAATGATAAAACAAAGAAGAATACAGTTATACAAAAGGAACCTCACTCAAAATTGAGTTACACAATAAAACTGCAGAATATTTGATATATTTCTTTCTATATTTAGCTGTGAAAAAGAAATACTTAAAAACAACAAAAATACTTCACAAAAGGTAAAGTATTCAAAGTAAACAATAGCACCACTTCACACACAGATCATTTGAATTAAAACGAAGAATGACAGAAATATGGATGACACTCTTTGAGATGATGATGTCCTTTCATTTTTGACTCTGCCTTCTCATAAAAATGCAAGGATCGGAGGGTCCATCATAACAGATAAGTGCCCCGTTTCTGGGATAAACGAAGAGCGAGGTGTACTTATGAATAACGCAGGTGAGAAAACGCGACTACGAATCTCCACACGCAGTTCTGGATGCCTTAAGTTGCCACTTAAATTCACGAAGCACCACAATTGCCGGAGGATATTTGTTTCATCAAAATGAAACCAATCATTCAGCGCAAATCTAAACGACCAACCGCGGAGTTTTCTCAAAGGTTAAAAAGCAGTCGTTGACAACACACCTGTCTTTAAAGATTCAAATATCATAGACTTACAACAACTAAAAGAGTTTGTATGGATAGGCTGGAGTGGTGTGCCGGTGTAGAAGTAAAAGTATGAGACTCGTGTACTCACAGTTTGAGCTGTCAGGTCACTCAGGTCTGGTGCTGTATCACAGGCTCATCTTTTCACTGTTTATCCCACCATAGGACAGAGAAAGAGAGAGAGAGAGAGAGAGAGAGAGAGAGAGAGAGAGAGAGAGATGGGGGGAGGTATTTCCTTTTCTCCAGCTCTGTTCACACAAGTACAACTGAAAAGAGAGAGAGAAAGAGAGAGAGAGAGAGAGAGAGAGAGAGTAGGAGGAGGATGGTTTTTCGATGCGATCTGGTTGGCGGTCCTGCTAAAAAGCGAGCGTCAGATTCAGTAGTGCTGCTTCTTTGGCGTGCCGCGCGTCTTCACACATAGCCGAGAGCCCGGTGCGGTCAACCACACGCGTCTGTCGTGTGTGTATGTGTGTTTAAGTTCACACAAGCGGGGTGTATGTGTGTAAGCGGTGGGTTTGTGTGTGTTGGGGAGGGTGCTTGGGCTTTCACTCACTGCGTCTTACACTGTAAGAACACATCAGAGAGAGCGAGAGAGAGAGAGAGAGAGAGGGAGGGAGGGAGAGAGATATGAGGGTGGGAGGGATGGACAGGGAGGAAGGAGGAGGAGGAGGAGAGACAGAACGCGGAGGTGGAGAGGATGCACTGACAGTTTCACGCGAGCCCTTCTCGGAAAGCTCCGACCACTAACACAGGCTGACAGGTACTGAACGATAGAGCCGAGAGGCAGCTACAGCCCTCTATTCTTTTTCCGCCATCATTCTCTCAATCTCTAATCCGCACTAAAATTATACCATTTCTCTGACACAATACATACTGGCACATGCACATTTAGAAATCATATTTTCCTTTGTCATGTAATGCAATAAATGCATGCTTGCAGTTAAAGTTGATGTTTGATTTATACCTGACCATTCATGCTCATCATTGGGAAGTTGGCAAGAAATCTAGACTATATAAGACCCAAACATGGTCTATAAAAGAGTTTCATCATGAGATGCTGGGAGACATCTTTAACTGATGGTGTAAATTGAGGATATAAAGTGTGGAAAGTCTATGGCAGCCCCATGGGCCCCGGAGCGCTCAATGCTGTCAGGGTAGACTACACTCCACTGATTTCAATTAAAAGCTAAATTAGCCATTTGAACTCTGATCTTAGCACTGTGATGTAATTCATGCCTTGCTATCAGAGAATGCGTCTCGTAAATTACACCTGGTACTACTTCAACTCATCAATAATGTTTTAGCACTTATCGGCATTATCGAAATCAATGCGTTTGTTGTTGCTGTGGTGATTATTGCTGGTCATCATCAGAGTGTGTTGCACGCCAATATGCATAATTACAGTTATAAATTTGTGACAGTTTAAAAAATGGCAGACCAATGTAGGCTAATATATAATTTATCATGATATAATATTATAGCCTACTCTACTATTACTATTAAAAACTTTGGGGTTTAGGTTTTTTCATGTGTTCATGTTTCAAAAAAGTCTCTTATGCCCACCCAGGCTGTGTGTATTATACAGTAAAAACAGTAATACCACAATAAATAAATAATCAAATCAGCATATTAAATTGATTTCTAAAGGATCATGTGACACTGAAACAGTTATTTATTCCTGTGATCGCAAATCTGAATATTCAGCAGGGTTTCGGTGTCACATGATCCTTTAGGAATCAATTTAATATGCTTATTTGATTAATAAAAGTTCAAAATAACGTATCATTATCATATGTATCATTATTATAAAATGTCTTTACTGTCACTTTTGACAAATTTAATAATTCCTTGATGAATGAAAGTATTTGTTTCCTTCAAAACAAAAACCTTGCTGATCCTAAATGCACATAAAATAATATATCTGACACATTTTATAATATTTTTAGCCAATCCCAGTCACATAGTCATCATTTTTAGTAATTATTTGTAAATTTAAATAAATCTCAATTGTGTATTAATTTAAACTCATTAATTTCTATAGGGCAGCTAATACAAAATTGCTACATACATGCAACAGAATGGGCCAAAATGCAGATGCCAAAAGATGTCAAGCGTTTTTAATATTCAAACAACAGGTTGCAAGAATGCATCTAAACGGACCCATGTTCAAGAACAAAAAGAATCAACTTTCTATAGTAAAAAACCCAGTCGCAGTCAGACACGCACATACACAACAAAGCCCCAGTGTTTTCACTCATCCACAGTGTGGAATCCCAGCAGTCAATAATCATATCCGGTTAACGCTGTGGGCCTGAAATGGATCTCAAAGCAGCAGCCTGTTCACAACGCCTCTAAACTGGGATTTCCCCACTCACACCTGCCCTTCTCTCAGCCCCATCACCGGCACTCAGCACCTCCATTAACAGGTTCACACAGGTGCCCTCAGCTTCCACCACACAGCTACACAAAGAATAACAATAGCCGGCATTATAGAGAGAATAATAGCATTAATAGCAGACAGCAGCCTCTCTCTTTGCTAATTGGCTTGTCTGCGAGCAGCCTCCACTCCAAGGGTCATGGGATTTTGTGGGTGGCATCTGTAAATAGCTAATCAGCTCCCCAGGCGCTCGCTACACTTCAGAAACTATTTCTTTTGAATTCGCAATAATAACGGGAGGAGGACTGTCGGGGTGGGGATGGGGATTGGGTGGTGGTGGTGGGGGGGGTTGGTTTTGGTGGTGCGGGGGGTTGTTGGATAACGACGTATGGCTAAGATAACTGCCAGAGACAACAGAGGCGAAAAATAAATAATGAAGCGCCGATTGTTATTCCTGCGCAGCCAACAGAAGCTGTTTGAAGTGCAGACTCGCCTTTATCTTGTCACACTGGAAGAAGAAGAAAAAAAAAAAAAACATTGCCAGCCCAGACGCAATAAAGATGTCTTTGACGCTTTTGGAGAATGACTAACAAGATTTGAGGTGTGAGGGGGTGAAGTGAGGTAAAGCTAACATGGCTGTCGGGAACGTAAGGCTGATTTAGGAACGTGGCGATGCAGAAGTTGAGCGACGCAGAGATAGAGTCTTGATTCCTGAGACACTTACGTTTCCTGATAATGTCAAGCTGCCAATAACAAGGGGAAGGGACAGGCCGCTCTCGCCCGGTCTGATGTTCTGAAGAGAGAAATCTGCGAGAGAACGACTGAGATGTTATGACCGGCTGTTAGGATGGGATTCGTAAGGATTCAAAATCATTTGACATGTGCTGTCAGACAATGTTTATCACCATTAAGTATAACGTCTAATATATATATATATATATATATATATATATATATATATATATATATATACATCACATCCAAAATAAAAGTTTGTGTTTAAATAATATGTGTGTAGTGTGTATAATTATTTTGTATAAATACACACATGTATATATTTGTATGTATATATTTAAGAAAAATGTGTTATTAATATATCAAATATTTATATTTATATATAATATTAATGTATAAATATGTATAAAGTATATACATGCAAATATTTCTTAAATATATACATGCATGTGTGTGTATTTACATATACAAAATAATTATACACACTACACACACACATATAATATGTAAACATAAACTTTTATTTTGGATGTGATTAATCGCGATTAATCATTGCCCATTATATATATATAAAAATAAATAATAAAACTATAAACTCATTAAAAATGTAAAAAAAACTACAATAATAATAAGCTTAAAAGGATTAAAAAGATACATTTTGTCCCAATTCAAAAGAAAGCAAAATCTAACTTACAGTGAGAAATTTACAATGGACGTGAATGGGACCAATATGCAAACATGATTAGTGTAAAAGGCTTTACAACTTTACACCTCTGTTGCCATGACAATGAAACACTATCAACTGCATAAATAACAAGAGGAATTTTACATTTAAATAAAGTTCACAAAAATAATAAGCATGTTAACAAGAATGTAAAGGTGATTTTATTATATTATATATTATTTTATAATTTATTATATATATATATATATATATATAATATGAATTATTATTATTATAGCCTCACATTTCTAAATTTAAATCCTCAGAAATGTGTCCCCTTCTGCTTGTATTGTTTGGGCAGTAATGTCTATTTCCCAACCAGGTAAAAGTAAAAATAAGTAAATGAATGAATTGCAATCAAAATTATGTCACAAATGCTGTCAATTGAGCTTAATTTGTATTAAACCAGGAATATCCCTTTAAGAGTCCTGACACTTTCTGTAATAACAATACTGCTGAATATGCTCAAAAATCCTCCTAAAACTCAAAATCCAGTTATCATGAGGTTAGACAAATTTTAGACTCCTAGGGCTGCTGTCTTTCTCTGTTCCATCCTTGCTTTTGACAAGTGTGTGTGTGTGTGACTCACAACCAGTCACCTCCTCAAACTGATCGCTCTACGGCTCTATGCTTCCCTGAACACCACCACATTATACTGCTACAATGCTCTCACAATCACTGCAATTAAGCCTGGGCGAATCACACCATGCCACTGCAGCTCAGAGCTCCAGCACACAGACAGTTCAGTGGCCAATAACATTATACATGTCTGAGATGGGGTTACAATATTACACAAAACGTAATCGCTTCTTTGTAAAAGTTTTAATGTTAGAGTGAAGTCATACACTTAGTGTGTTCACACTAGTTTACATGATTGATTTACGCCTGGTTTTCTTAGTCATTTTTAACACTGGACCTCAAGATGTCTTTTTTAAAGTCGCATCTTGTGACATCATCTCCTGTTTTGAGGTCGTATCCTTTGGTCCGGGATGTGTTTATCTTTTCAGCAGTCTCGGTCCTGCTTGTTAGGTGCGCGCCAGGATTCGGATTCACACTTATTCGTTTTAATCGAACCAATTCGATTAAATTTATCGAATTGGTTTCGATAAATTTTATTTTGGATGCGATTAATTGCGATTAATCGTTTGACAGCCCTAGAATTAATATTAATAAATAACGTAAAAATCTATTCATTTAAAAAGTTGAATGATACACTTTGCTTGAAGGTCTTGCTGCAAACCTGGTGGGAACAGTAAAATAGGTAAACATAGACAGTAAAATAAATGGACATAGCGACCTCTTAGACTTTAACAGAGAAAAGTGAAGTCAATTAGAATCACTCACTTCTTGATTGCAAGCGCACCGCGCAGGCTCAAATGAGCATTGACTTTATGCCTCCGCGTCCCCCCGATTGCACACAAGCTTCTACTTCTGTCTACGGTCTTTTCTTTACTGTGCGACAGTCACGTCTTATGACGCAATCGCTAGCCTATTCATACATAAACTGCTTCTACGGGGCCATATCCTGAGATAAAAGGAAATGGAGCCTTTTATACATAGTCGTGTTTCTTTAGAAATAAACAATGGACAAATGAAGTCTTTAAACGCCTCAGATGAAAAGTTATTCGCTGTCAAAGTGACGCCAAAATGAATGGGAGTCAATGGAATGCTAACAGCA